TTGAACTCTATGATTTGCTCCATGATCCTTTACGCTGAAATATTAAACATTCGTTTCTCATCCTTCAGCGGAAGCGCACTGATTTCGGTCCGGGTTGTCAGATGAAGTGACCTTCATCTGGTGACCCCGACTTTGAACCTGTGCCTAAGAAGATTCTTACGGATTCGTCCCACGGATCACACTTCACGCTTTCGATCCCGTTCGAATGCAATCGTCGTCGCCGGAATTCTACGATTTTCGAAGATCTGAAATCGTCGTTTCTATTTGTTGGTCACGCTCGACCATCTAATTTTTTTCCGACTGCACGACCGATTTTCCTGGGTACAGGAGAACACTGCGTTGTTCTTTATTTTTGTCGGTCATTTCGTTTGACTCCCGGCACCATGCCCGCTTCCACCAAAAAGAAACCGAATCAAGAGAAATTGCTCTTCATTCGTGTTGAAATACTTTTTGAACGTTGTAAAGCCCTCCTCTCCACGGCCAATGATTCGCTCGAAGCGTACAAACCCGACGCTGCTGCGGCAATGTTCGAAAAGATTTCCTCCCTCTCTGACGATCTTACAGAGGCGTTCTCCTCTTGGCTCTTGAACTCTTCCGATCTGGAGGACGAAAATATCGTGGTAGCAAAAACAACTTTCAATGAAATTGCAAAGTCCACTGACGACATCCTCGTCAAGCTTAGGTCCATAGCCCCTGTTAATAAGTCCGCAAAACAGGAAAAAGAACAGGTACCCTCCAGGTTACGCAAAGTTGATTTTCGTCCTCTTGACAAAGGTTCTCCAAAAAACTGGTTCGAAGACCTGGAGATCGTGTTCAAGGCAATGGGCATCAACGATGAGGCTTTCCGCTACGCATCATTGCTCCGCCTAGTGGATGGACAAACAAGCACGTTGTTAAGCACGATTTCAAGAGAGCAACCAGCTGACTGCTACACAAGAGCTCGGAAGGTTATTATTGCTGAATTTTCGTTATCTAAGTTCGACAGAGCCAAAATGTATCTGCATGATTCCGCACCTGGTCCTGATGAAAACCTCTCGCATTTCGCGTCGAGAATCGAGGTACTGTTCGAAGATTTAACACTGGATGACATCAGAAAATTCACTGTCTTGCGCCACGC